GAGCAGGGAGCCCGATGCGGGGCTCGATCCCAGGACCCTGGGATCATGACCTGAGCCGAAGGCAGACGCCTAACGACTGAGCCACCCAGGCGCCCCACCATTATTCATTTCTGTGAGGAGAAAAAACCCAGGAATTTTTCTATTATTTTACTCCAAGGAAGGCCATACCATGAGGAGGAGTTTGGGTCCAGTTTCTCTGCCATAAAAATGGGGCAGAGTGACCTTCTCTCATGAACCCCAAGCTGAAGAGGCATCCTGGTTTTGGCAAAACCTTTTTTGACCTACTCTTCTGGAACTCCTGGAGTTCATCCTTGGCCCTAAGAAAGGATGGCAGTAACCTGGGGAAAGGCCCATCTGTGCGGGTGCCTTTTCTGTTCTTAGTTGTTGATATCCCTGATCCTGGTATTTTCACCATCATGCAAAGGAAACCAGGCCCCTAAGACCTCAGGGTCATGACCTTCAGTGGCACCTAGCATCATCCCGTCCTGAGCCCAGCATAGCCCTTGTGGATTATGAGGGTTCCTTGGGCTTCAGAGGGCCTGGCTGTTCCATCCAGGGGTCACCAGCATGGGCACATCGTCCTTGCCCTGCTTTTCACTCCCTCCCACTCGGAATTTGAGCCCAGAGCCCTTCTCTTCAAGCCTCGTAGATCTCTTGAGGCTGTGCTGATGTTCCTGTTGCTCTTGGCCAAGGTGCGCACCCAGAGAGGCAGCCAGCTTCTCCCCTTCCTCCGGCATCAGCTGTGCTCAGGCACCAGGTCTCTCTTGTGGCCTACCACCAGGAAGAAGATGTTGAAGGGTTTCACTTTTTCCAGAACCTTCCAGTGCCACTGGGTGACACTCTCAAAGGATGTTCTGTTGGTGATATCAAACAGCAAAAGGCCTCCTGCTGAGTTCCGATAGTAGGAGCGAGTCACTGACCTTGACAGCCAAGAAGGAATCCAGAATTAGTTTTGAATCCTCCATTGAGGACAGAAAGGGACAAAGGAATTGGGGCAGTTTAATGGAAAGAGCTGGGGGAGAGTCCATAGTTCTCAATTCTTGATCCGCTGTGTGACAGGTAAGTGGCTTCATCTATCTTGAGTCTTGTCCTACCTGTATGTGGAGGGGCTGTTCATTCAGCAAGTATTTATAAGCTGGGCCTGGGCCTGGGCCTGGGCTAGGCAGTGGGCTACACTGATGAATAAAAAACACAGGGAGCAGCCCTGCTATAGGGTGAGTGAAAAACTGCCTCTGTGTCTGGGGCACCTGGGTGGCTCAGTCAGTTAAGCCTCTGACTCTTAATTTCGGCTCAGGTCGTGATCTCCGAGTCCTGGGATTGGCCCTGCATGGGGCTCAGCACTCAGTGTGAAGTCAGCTTGAGATTTTCTTTCCCTCTGCCCCTCTCCCCGCTTGCACGTGCTCGCTCTCTTTCTGGAATAAATGGATACATCTTTTAAAAAACAAAAAAACCTGCCTCTGTCCCTGGGGCTGCAAAGGAGAGAGAGGTTGGGGGGGGGCCTGACCAGCTGAGTTGAGGGACTCGGGTGAAGGGGTGGAGATCTCTGAGGGAGCAAGTACTGTGTGAAAGCAAGCCTGAGGCCAGCTCGCAGGCATTGTGGCGAGGTCCAGCACCCAGGCTTCAGAGGCTGCCATGTGTGTGTCTGTGTGTGTGTGTCTGTGTGTGTGTCTATCTGTATGTCTGTGCTGTGTGTCTGTCTGTCTTGCAGGAGTGGGAGGGTGTAGTGTAGGCAACTAGGTAACCCTCCAGGCTGGCCTTGTGCTTCCCATCCCTCCTCAGCCACAGAAATACCTTTTTTCTCTTTTTTTAAAGATTAATTTATTTATTTTAGAGAGAGAGAGAAAGCAGGGGCAGAGGGAGAGGGAGAGAGAAACTCAAGCAGACTCTCTGCTGAGCTCAGAGCCCAACGTGGGGCTTGATCTCACAACCCTGAGATCATGACCTGGGCTGAAACCAAGAGTCAGACGCTCAACAAACTGAGCCACCCAGGCGCCCCTGAGTAATACCTTTCTTAATTGTTAGACATTTTAGGGCTATTAGAAAGACTCCATCTGGTAAGAGGATTCTGGTGCTAAAAACAGGCATATAAACAAAAAGTTTGAAAACTGTGCAGGTGCTAGGGACCAGTGGAGTTTCAGGTGGTGGACTGATGTGATTGGGTTTACATGTTAAAAGCCTTGCTCTGGCTGCCGGCATGGAGAATGGAGTCGGAAACAGGCAGGAGGGGGGCCAGCCAAGAAGGTACTGTGGTTAATTCGGACTAAAAGTAAAGGAATATGGCATGCGAGGTTTTCCTGAGAAAGTACTAACCAAAAGATAGAGGTAGAGGTTGGTTGCAACAATACAGGTGAGTTTTGGACACAGAAGGAGCCATCTGGGACCACAAAGCCATCCTGAAAAGTCTCCTGTGCCTGCATGAGGGGAAGCAGGGAGGAGGAGGCCTGACGTGGACTGAAGCCTTACAGTTACCTGTAGTTAGAAGAGGCCCCAGCGTCACCCAGTGCTGCCCCATCTCTTACAGGTAAGAACATCAAGATCTGGGAGGTCATTATGTCCTGTCTGAGGTCCCTGGGCAGGCCGGGACTCAGAGCTGTGCTCTTGGTCCATTGTCCATCCTCATGGGAGCCCTGGCCTCAAAGCGCTAGTCTAGTGGGGCAACAGAGCGTGAAATCTCCAGGTGCCCTGAAGGCTCGGAGAAAGAATTGATACATCTGGTTGGGCCAAGCCTTGAAGGATGAACAGAATTTTGACAGAGATGGAGGAAGGACATTCCAGACAAGGGACCCACACATGAAAGACCCAAAGGGAGCTTGTTAGCAGAAGGAGCTTAACACTTATTGGGCACTTAACACACAGCCTCCTATTTAATCCTCCAACAAAGCTGTGGGGTAGGAATTGTTCTCATTTTACCATGAAGACCAAGGCTCAGAGGTAGAGGACAGGGGCTGGGCTCCCACCCAGACATCTTCAGCTCCAGGCTGTGTGTGGAGGGCAGGATGGGTTTTCTGTCTTTACCCACTAAGTTTCAGTGGCTCCCAGAATGGGCAGGGTCTTCCGAAAGGCTCCCATGGGTGACAGACTGGCTCTGTGCCTTCAAAAGGGCAAAAGGCAAGGATCCAGGCCTGGGAGCCTGACCTTGTCGAAGCTGCTGTGGCTGGAGGGTTTAGTCAGGGTGCTGCTTTGGAGAGGGAGTTTTGCTTGCTCAGACTAGTCTAGGGATAGACCTGAAGGGACTATTCTGGAACTTCACTCTTAGTACAGAAGCAGAACCCAGTTCACATCTCCAGGAGTGGGTCATGATCTTTAAGAACTTTTGTTATTTCCCCACAGTGTTTACTTTGGTAGTCTCTGTTCCATTACAGTGAGGAATAAAACGCTCAGGGAAAAAGGGAAATTCCATTTTGTGAATTCCTACTGTGTGACCAGCACTGCCTTTGATTTCTCATCAAACCCTTTCTAAAACCCTGTGTGAGTTAGGTATTAGTATCCTCATTTTCCAGAGGAGTCCACTGAGGCTTGCGGAGATGAAGTGAGTTGACCAGGGTCCACAGTTACACATAGTGGAGCTGGGAGTCAAACCCAGGCTTGACTGCAAAGCCCACCGTAATGTAGGCAGCTGGGATGATGCTGTGGTTAAGAAGAAGTGATACTTACCTGAGCGTGGCAAGCCAGTCTGGTCACCCGGGGAGAGGGGAGAGGGCTGGGGCCATCCAGTGGAAGGAAATACCACGTGCAAAGCCCAGGGCTGCAGGTGGTTCGGAATTTGTCAGGGCCAAGGAGGCGGAGAGGCAGCGCGCACTAGCTCCGGAAGGGCCAGGACTTTGAATTCTAGGAGGGGAACAGCCATGTCAAATATACTTTTAAAACTTCCCTCTGGGGCGCTGTGGATGCTGAATCAACAGGGGACACCCTACAGGCCTCAAGAGGGGCGGCACAGTCTCCACTAGAGACCGCAGGGCCTGAACTGTGACAGCAATGGCCCTCAGGGCAGGGGGGCAGGGGCGCGGAGGCTGCTTCTGAGCGGCTGTGGGAGGCGGGGCTCAGCTGGCAGGTGGGTCTGCCCCCCTCCACTGCTCTTCTCTGCTTTTCCTCTTAGCCAGCGGGCTGGGCAGGGCTGCTTCCTGCTGCTGCCAGAATCCTACCCATCAAAGCCACTTGTAGCCTCCAGAGGGTTTGCCACATGGCAAGGGGCTTGTGAGCGTGGGACCGGAGCCCCGAGGCACAAGATAGGACCTTCTGGGCCTGGCCCGAGGCGGTGGACGAGACCTGGGTTCACCAGCTGAGCCACATCAGTTTCCCATCCTGGACTTTAGGTCCCTGTCTGTGAAATGGACAAGCTGAGCCCCACCTCACAGTTTTGCTTCGGGGTTAATAA